AATCCAGCTTATAGAATTTTTATTTAACAGCATGAAAAGGCAAGAACCTCTTTACTTCCTCTGTCCCAGACTCAGAAACAATAGCTGTCAAAGAAATAGTTTCCCTTGGATACTGGAAAGACTAAACTAATATGGAAAGCACTGTAATGTGATAAACAAGGAACCCCACAATCTCTTCTTAATCACTTGGCAGGATAAAGATGGAGGGCAAAACTGGCATCTCTTTTTTCCTTTCATCTGTCCTCCCTTCTCTCAGCCACCACGCTGACCCGTTTCCTCTATTACGTGTACAAGTTCATTAACTTGCCTTTCCATCCTGCTAAAATGCACATGGCTTTTTCTACCATGTTTTTTAATAATGGGTTCCTCTCAGTGAGTATTGAGAGCTGATGCAAGAGGTAGAGACACTTTCCAAAAGGATACCAACAGCCTGTTTGAATGCAGCTTTGGAGAGTGTTCCCAGGTCTAACGTGCTCGTGGCTCCTCTACTCCCCCTGTCATTGTATACCATTTATTTTTCCACTTACATAAACTAAACTTATTTGTCAGTTTATCCTTTCAGACAGCTATTGAATTGCAGATTTGGAGTATCAAAACTGAATGGTTTTAAGTAGTTCTTTTTTCAAATGTGAACAACATGGTCACTCATGCTATATACTGTGATAGCGCTATGGCATGCTACACTTAGCTGCTCTTTCTTTAACTTTTATCTTGAGTCTTGTGTCTCTTTCACTGTTTTCAGGTATGCACACACACCAAACAAAACAGGAATAACTTCTATGTAAAAAAAAAATTCCCCCAGTATTATTTCAATGTATACAGCCACACTGTCATTGTTCCCCTCATGTACTGTCCTTGACTAAGCTACTTTTCTTTCATGAACTACCCGTGTTGATTGGGATGCATGGTAACAGTTTTCCAGAACAGCATGCATTAAAGACTTCTATTAATTCTATGTAACAGCTGTAGTTTATGGTACTTCTGTAACTTGCATGGCTTCTCAAAATTACTTGTGAGTTATTTAAATCATGATGTAAAGTCTGTCAACTTCTTGTCTGTAATCCATTTCAATACTAATATTAATTACACATGAATCTTTTTCAATCTAGGTTAAAATTTATGTTTCCAAAGATATAGATAGAAGTCTGGTAAAGAAATAACTCAGGCCATAGTGTCCTTATTATCTTTGGAAAACATCCTGGTATTTGGGAACCTTGATATAATTACTTTTACTCTTATCTATTAAGCTAAACCCTTTTCTACCTCACTGGAGGATGTGCTGTACCGAAAAGAACAACAATGTACTTTTTCCTGCTTGCCTCTATCGTATTCTCTGCTAGTTTATCAGATATTTAGAATCAGTTATGATACACAGAGCATTGAAATGACCTGGCTGCACAAACAGGGTGATATTATAAATCTATCATCTAATCTCAACTTTTTTAGCATGGCTATGTACAGAATTCAGTATAAGTAAGCACAGGAAATAAGGCAGGATTACCATTACAGAAAGAGTAAGATCAGAATAGTATTAGTAATTTAAAATATATAAATTACTAATATAAACATTTTAAAAAAATTGTTTTAGATACGCTCCAAGTTACAGTATAAGAAAATAGTGGAGAAGTATGGCAGAGGAGTCAGGACTTTCCATGAGTAAATTTAGAAAAAAAGAGTAATAGTGAATCTTAGGCCGAATAAGGTGCTTTGATCATGTTGGATTATTTTACATCTTAGTTTTATTGAGACAATAACAGGAGTTACATTCTTAAGTTCTTGAACTATTCATGCAGCTCCCAAACTGTCTTGAATCTTTGTTGATCAACTTAGGTAAGAGTTCTGCCTAAATATTTAACCTTCCTACTTTTATGTATTTTTATGCATTCATCTTTTTTCCTTTACATGAATTTATAACTTCCTATGTGTATGGCATTTTTTTTATTTACCCACTTCAATGCGTGATTAAGTAAAATCCCTGTCACCTTTTACTGTGAAATCCTCCTGTTTGAGGCATCTATGTTGAAAATCTGTGACTTTCCAGCTAGTGTCCAGGGATCAACAGTATCCTGTCACCAGGACTGAATAACATCTGATAGTGGAGCAGCTAATGAGAGGGCCACACAGAACACTCCACTGCTTTAAAATTGGCTGCACAGCCCCTTCAAGGAGAGACAGACTGACATAGGCTCTTCTCTGTGTTGTTTTTTTTCCCCCCACTCTCCTCTTCTCTTCTTGCTCAGTGCCTCCCAACATCTTAAATGCCTAATTTTCATCCAACTTAGTGTTTTCATCTACACAGGAAATTGTCAAGAAACCTTTTTGAGATACTAAGGATTAAGAGAAATAGCTTTTGGGTGGTAAGTCATCAAAAAGCCAAAGAGAAGTAGCCTTTGTTAGAATTCCTTCTCCAGTGCTACATGTGCTAATAAACACTCTTGGTAAAAGTGATCACACGGGGTCTTGCACTCGTGGGTTCCTCACAGACCCACCTTTCAATGGATTATTTTACTTGAAACTCTCCAGTGTTGAAATTAATGAAGTTTAATTGACTAATAGCTTACACTAATCATCATCATTTTCATAGCAAAAATCAAAATGTTATCTTAAAATGCCCTTTTTTCATTTGTTTATATGACTTTATGTAGGGGAATATAATGCTAAATAACCCTCATACTGCCTTTACTAAAAAGCAAAAGATTATATTCAAAACTGTTTTGTTTTGAATATAAGTTTTCAAAAGGTAATTGCTAGTGCCTGAATCCATACATGTAGCATAATCATACAGGACGAATACAAACTAAACTAGCACTCTGGATTTTAACTAGTATACAAACATTAATAAGTCCTTTAGTTAGCCAATGTTGTCCAGTAGATACTCCCTCTGCATTGCAAACTGAAAATGTAATATTCTGCCTGCGTAAGCACTGTGACTACCACATATTCTCAAGCTCTATTTGCTTATGCTTTACTCTGTTTACCAAACTGAGACTTTGTTGAAGTGTTTGAAGAGTTTAGTGAAGTATATGTGCAGTTTTTAAAACCCTGCTAATGTTTAGTTGTAAATCACAGTAGCCATTATGGCAATATGGTTTTACCTCAGATTCAGACATGATCGTCCTCCTCCCAGTTGCGCACAATGGAATTTCCTGCCAACCAAGCACATCACAAATCCAAAAGTTCCCTGCAGTAAACCCATGTCAGGGACATTTTAGGGCAGGATGTATAGCTGTAGGATAAATTCAGACCCTTCAAACATGCATAAAAATGGTAGGGGAAGGGATGGAAA